GGGGATGGCACGTGCTGTTGCGTGTGTAGTGGCACATGCGGTGGTGCATGGCGATCCTTGTAACACGCGTATGGCGCCGCATGTGGCGACACATGGTAACTCCATTGACCGAGATCGCGTGTCTAAGATAAAATTAGTTTCTTCTTCTGTGTTTTATCATTTCTGACATTATTTATCGTTTAATACATGTATTCTCTATTTGTAGACAATGGAATTATCCAAATGGTGATTGGAATTAGAGGAGATCATAGACTGAACCTAGTGGGAACCATGATACCTTTTCTGATCAAACTTTAGATAAGAATTGAATCGTTTTTCATTCGGGGATTTCATATTTTTATAAAATGGTTTATTAATTTCAAAATGAGTAATTATAATTTGATAGATTATTTTCAAGTTTTCCGTTGGTATATATTTCCTAAAAAATAATAATTATCGTGTGTATGTTGACTGCGTGTGACTGCTGCACTTGTACATATATATATATATATATATTGTGGGAAACCATAATCTCGCAGGAACGTAACTTGCAGGCATTTACTTGTACACGAGGGACATGTAGTGCGCACAATGCATATGCAAGTAGCATGGAACTCGTGCACATGCAAGCGCAAAGACACCGCAAACACATGCCACATAACACAAATGCGCAGGTCCCTTTCTTGCAAGGAATTGCTTGTGCCTGCGAGAAAGGAGAATCCATTTCCTGCAAGGACTTCCACAGATCCTGTCCCAAACAAGCCAACAATTTTGTTATTTTCAGTTTTAAATAGAATATAAGTAAGACAATTGTTCTAAATAAATTGTAGTCTCAGATACTTGACTTTGAGCAAGGGATGTAATAAATGTCAATTTTTATCAGATTGTTGCATATTAGGTAAAAGTTATAAGTGCGGTAGCATTTCTTTCTTGTAAGAAAAGTTGGAATGTTACAATGTAAATGTCTAAAATTTTTTTATTGAACTCTTATCTTAACTTGAGTTGTAAATTTATCTTGAATGGGACGAAATGACGCCTGTGACTCCTCCTGGAATACAGGACGTTGTAGTTGGTATCACATGTCCCTTGGACATCCCTTGTTACATGAGACTTAGGGCTTTATGGAGGTTATGACTAAAAAAATCATCATGCAATACAAACCTTTTAGTGGAAACCTAGTTGAGGATTAGGACATACGTGTACGTGGGAATAGTGATAAGAAAGTGAGAATAGAGTATTCTGAAGCCCGAACATTAGGACCTACATAAAGATGAGTTAGACAAGTTTAAAATCAAGGAGATGTAACTTCACCTCGAAGCCACCTAGAGGCGCGAAATAAGTAATATTCATAGGCTAACATAGGGAATACCTATAAGAACCATTAGAGACTTAAGCCAATACTGAGGGACCTAACATAAATAGAAATAACAAGTATTATCCCGGAATGATGAAAAATAGAAATGAGACTGTAACACCCGAACTCAAAAATTTGGTCCAGGATAATTTTACAATTTATAAAATTATACATTTAAATAATTTAATCTTATTTTATTTTAATTTTGTAGAATTTTTGAAAAAAAATAGAATTTGAGACGAAATTGAATCGGCCTAAACCGATCTTGCTGGTAGGCCTGTAGGGTTTCAGCTTTTTTCCTTTTTCGGCCAACAGAGGCCTTCTAATTTGGTTTTTTGCAAGTTTCCATGCAAAATCAGCGTAAACTGGCCGAAAACGGCTAGGCTGAAAGGAACCATCACCGTGGGCGGCGACGTCATGCCGGAACCCTAAATTGGCCGAAAAAGTTTTAAAATGCCTATTTTGACTTTTTGGAGTATTTTTGTATATGTGTCGAGTATTTTTAATTTCCACAGAAAAAATTCAGAAAATTCGGAGACCACTAGGAGATGCAGTAAAAAGTACAGTGTTTCGAATATCGATTTAGGATAAGAATCCCTCACTCTTCTTCCTGTTATGGGAAATTGAAACTTAATAATCAATAACGTTGTGTTTTA